TTACGTGGTGTGGGTAGTAACGTGGTGGGGGCAGTCACGTAGTGGGGGTAGTCACGTGATGGAGGTGGTCACTTGGTGGGGGCGGTCACGTGATGGGGGCGGTCACGTGGTGGGGGCGGTCACGTGATGGGGGCGGCAGTCACGTGATGGGGGTGGTCACCTGCACTCGCACTCGCTGTGCTGCGTGAACGGGAGCTCCTGGAAGCCCCCCCCGTGAGACGGTCTGTTCTTGTACACCTGGGGGAGGGGGGAGGGGGTGAGACGTGAGCCCCCACCCCTGTATGGTGACCCTGGTGCTGGTGGTGTGTGGGCCCCAACTGTATGGTGATGATGGTGGTGTGCGTGGTGTGTGGGCCTCACCTGTATGGTGATGGTGGTAGTGTGCGTGGTGTGTGGGCCTCACCTGTATGGTGATGATGGTGGTGTGCGTGGTGTGTGGGCCTCACCTGTATGGTGATGGTGGTAGTGTGCGTGGTGTGTGGGCCCCACCTGTATGGTGATTGTGGTGGTGTGCGTGGTGTGTGGGCCCCACCGGTATGGTGATTGTGGTGGTGTGCGTGGGCCCCACCTGTATGGTGATTGTGGTGGTGTGCGTGGTGTGTGGACCCCACCTGTATGGTGATGGTGGTGGTGTGCGTGGTGTGTGGGCCTCACCTGTATGGTGATGGTGGTGGTGTGCGTGGTGTGTGGGCCCCACCTGTATGGTGATTGTGGTGGTGTGCGTGGTGTGTGGACCCCACCTGTATGGTGATGGTGGTGGTGTGCGTGGGCCTCACCTGTATGGTGATGATGGTGGTGTGCGTGGTGTGTGGGCCTCACCTGTATGGTGATGGTGGTGGTGTGCGTGGGCACGCACTCGCTGCCCTCGTCGTTGCAGCAGCCCGAGCAGCGCAGCAGCGGCACGCAGGCGGGCCGGAAGAAGTGGGCCACCTCGTCGGGGAACTCGCGTGACACCGGCACCATCGTCTCCATGGGGCGGCAGTAGCTGCGCTGCATCACCTCCTCGAAGCGCACCACTGCCCGCAGAGGGGAGGGGTGGGCGACTGGGGTGTGACGGCGCTCGCTCACCCAGCCACTCGCCTAGCCACTCGCCCAGTCACTCATCCAATCACCCAGTTACTCACCTGGTCACTCACTCACCTGGTCACTCACTCACCCAGTCACTCACCCAGTCACTCACCTGGTCACTCACTCAGTCACTCACCCAGTCACTCACCCGGTCACTCACTCACCCAGTCACTCACCTGGTCACTCACTCACCCAGTCACTCACCTGGTCACTCACCTGGTCACTCACCTGGTCACTCACCTGGTCACTCACTTGGTCACTCACCTGGTCACTCACCTGGTCACTCACCTGGTCACTCACCTGGTCACTCACTTGGTCACTCACCTGGTCACTCACTCACCCGGTCACTCACCTGGTCACTCACCCAGTCACTCACCTGGTCACTCACCCAATCACTCACCCAGTCACTCACCTGGTCACTCAGTCACTCACCCAGTCACTCACCTGGTCACTCACTCACTCATCAACTCACCCAGTCACTCACCCAGTCACTCACCCAGTCACTCACCTGGTCACTCACCTGGTCACTCACTCATCAACTCACTCAGTCACTCACCCAGTCACTCACCTGGTCACTCACTCATCAACTCACCCGGTCACTCACCTGTCCACTTTCTAACTCGCTCACGCAGCACCGACAGGCGACCCCAGGCCACATTTTTATGGCAGGGCCAGGGTGAGAGCAGGGGCGGGGCCAGGGGTGGGGGCGGGGCCAGGGGTGGGGGCGGGGCCAGGGTTGGGGGCGGGGCCAGGGTTGGGGGCGGGGCCAGGGGTGGGGGCGGGGCCTGCATGGCAGCTCTGGGCGGTGGCTCGTACCTTCACTTGAGGTCATGTAGGGACCGTTCAGAACGCTCAGCGCCTGAAAGAGAATGACCCACAACAACACAACAACCACCACAATGCCAACCGCAACAATAACAGGCGATAGGGGGGTGTGGGTGAGTGGGTGGAGGGGTTGGGGGGGCAATGGGGGTGTGTGTGTTGGTGTGTATAGGTGTGTGTGTGTCAGTGTGTGCGTGTGTTAGTCCGGCAAAACAACCCCCTACCTCCTCGCGGTGCCAGATGGGCAACACTGTCGTGGACAGTGCTGTGGGGGGAGGACCAATGCCCATTGGCCCTCTCCCCTTATGGCGTCTGCGACCACCACAGTGGCTAAACAGGGGCTCTGGACGGGTGCGAGGGGCTGGTAACCCCTCCACCCGGGTGCGATCAAGGAATGGCTCCCTATTGGTCAACCACGTTACGTATGCCGATGATTTGGTAATAGCTGCTCATTCAGAAGAGTAGTTGGAGACGCTGCTGCTGAGACTGGAGCGTGCCACTAAGAGGTGGGGCCTTACCGTCAGCCCCACCAAAACTAAGCACCTGCCTGGGTATTTTGCACCATCGGACACTCCACCCCCACAACTCCCAATTGGTGATGGGGCAGTAGTGGAGAGAGTGGAGAGTTTCCCATACCTGGGCAGTGTGCTTATGACCGGCTCCAGTTTAACAGCAGAGGTCTCACTCCGAATCAGTCGAGCGGCAATATCTTTTCATCGGTTGCGTAACGCTGTGTGGAAGCTACATGATCTGTCGCTCCGCACGAAGCTTCAGGTCTTCTCGGCCAGTCATTCCCTCCCTTCTCTACGCTTGCGAAACGTGGACCCCCCTAATGGAGCATCTTCGCCGGTTGGAAACATTTAGGCTGGCCTGCCTATGATTCATCCTGGGTTTAACCAGGCTGGATTGTGTGAGGAGCTCACAAATCCTTGAAAGATCTGGGCAAAGTCCCATCGGTGAGCTCCTCCGGCAGGCAAGGCTGCGTTGGCTGGGTCATGCAGCCCGCATGCCCAGCCACCGCATTCCTAAACAGCTTTTGTTCGGCCGGATCGAGGGGGCTAAACGGGCGCGGCACGGGCTAGAGAAGAGATGGAGTGATGTGGTACAGGAGGACGTAGAGCTGAGTGGACTTGCCGATGACTGGTACCAGCGGTGTCAAGATCGGCCTCAGTGGAGGAGGCTCGTGAAGGACGCTACTGGGCAGTTGGAGGCAGTCGCCCTCCAACAACAACGGAGGGCGGAGGAGCGACGCTCACAACAACGAGCGGAGCGCCGGGTGGCTAAAGCACAGCAAGTTGGCACAGTAGGAGGCACAGGTGGTGCATGAGCCAGTCATCTGGGTCAGTCGACCCGTGGCACCTTGGTCTGCCCCGTGACCTCCTGCCAGCAGGCGTTCGACACCTCACGTGGCCTCAAGGTGCACATGGCCTGTCACAAGAGTCGTGGTGACGTCACCGCCACTTAGTGGCGAATGGCGGTTGTTGTTGTGTGCTAGTGTGTGTGTCTGTGTGTGCTAGTGTGTGTGTGTCAGTGTGTCAGTGTGTGCGTGTACGTCAGGTGCGTCGTGGTTGAGCGCTTTGTCTTTGGGTGGATGTGTGTGGGGGGGGGGGGGGCTGTGGGGGGGGGACGCGGGGGGTGAGGGGGGGGGGGCGCACCTGGCAGGTGACGAGGTGGAGCAGGAGGTGCAGGAGGTGCAGGAGGAGGAGGAGCCACGCGGTGGCCGAGGCGGTCGGCAGGGATCGCATGGTCGCGGCGCGGGCCCAGGTGAGCGCGCGTGTGTGTGAGTGACTGTGTGTCAGTGTGTGTGAGTGACTGTGTGTCAGTGTGTGTGAGTGACTGTGTGTCAGTGTGTGTGAGTGACTGTGTGTGTGAGTGACTGTGTGTGTGAGTGACTGTGTGTCAGTGTGTGTGAGTGACTGTGTGTCAGTGTGTGTGAGTGACTGTGTGTCAGTGTGTGTGAGTGACTGTGTGTGTGTCAGTGTGTGTGAGTGACTGTGTGTCAGTGTGTGTGAGTGACTGTGTGTCAGTGTGTGTGAGTGACTGTGTGTCAGTGTGTGTGAGTGACTGTGTGTGTGAGTGACTGTGTGTCTGTGTGTGTGAGTGACTGTGTGTGAGTGTGTGTGAGTGACTGTGTGTCAGTATGTGTGAGTGACTGTGTGTCAGTGTGTGAGTGACTGTGTGTGTATCAGTGTGTGTGAGTGACTGTGTGTCAGTGTGTGTGAGTGACTGTGTGTCAGTGTGTGTGAGTGACTGTGTGTCAGTGTGTGTGAGTGACTGTGTGTGTGAGTGACTGTGTGTGTGAGTGACTGTGTGTCAGTGTGTGTGAGTGACTGTGTGTCAGTGTGTGTGAGTGACTGTGTGTCAGTGTGTGTGAGTGACTGTGTGTGTGTCAGTGTGTGTGAGTGACTGTGTGTCAGTGTGTGTGAGTGACTGTGTGTCAGTGTGTGTGAGTGACTGTGTGTCAGTGTGTGTGAGTGACTGTGTGTGTGAGTGACTGTGTGTCTGTGTGTGTGAGTGACTGTGTGTGAGTGTGTGTGAGTGACTGTGTGTCAGTATGTGTGAGTGACTGTGTGTCAGTGTGTGAGTGACTGTGTGTGTATCAGTGTGTGTGAGTGACTGTGTGTCAGTGTGTGTGAGTGACTGTGTGTCAGTGTGTGTGAGTGACTGTGTGTCAGTGTGTGTGAGTGACTGTGTGTCAGTGTGTGTGAGTGACTGTGTGTGTGAGTGACTGTGTGTCTGTGTGTGTGAGTGACTGTGTGTGAGTGTGTGTGTGTGACTGTGTGTCAGTGTGTGTGAGTGACTGTGTGTCAGTATGTGTGAGTGACTGTGTGTCAGTGTGTGTGAGTGACTGTGTGTGTATCAGTGTGTGTGAGTGACTGTGTGTCAGTGTGTGTGAGTGACTGTGTGTCTGTGTGTGTGAGTGACTGTGTGTCAGTGTGTGTGAGTGACTGTGTGTGTGAGTGTGTGTGTGAGTGACTGTGTGTCTGTGTGTGTGAGTGACTGTGTGTCAGTGTGTGTGAGTGACTGTGTGTCAGTGTGTGTGAGTGACTGTGTGTGTGAGTGACTGTGTGTGTGTCAGTGTGTGTGACTATGTGTCAGTGTGTGTGAGTGACTGTGCGTCAGTGTGTGTGAGTGACTGTGTGTCAGTGTGTGTGGGTGACTGTGTGTGTCAGTGTGTGTCAGTATGTGTGAGTGTACGAGTGTGTGAGTGAGTGAGTGTGTAAGTGTGTAAGTGTGTGAGTGAGTGAGTGTGTGAGTGTGTGAGTGTGTCACTGTGTGAGTGTGTGAGTGTGTCAGTGTGTGAGTGCGTGAGTGACTGTGTGTGTGATGATGCTCAGGCGCGCAGGGCTTCACCTGCAGAGACCGCCTCGACCAAGCACCTGGGAAGGACGACGACGACGAGTCAGTTGACGAGTCAGTCGACAAGTCAGTCGACAAGTCAGTCGACGAGTCAGTCGACGAGTCAGTCGACGAGTCAGTCGCCCATCACCCCGGGCCTGGACCCGACCATGCGGCAAGCGGCCAGCCTTGGCGCGTGGAGCAAACAACAACTCCTGAAGAACTGCACTGGGGTCGTCTCATTGTCTTGCCTGAGGTCACTACGTGGCCGACAAAGACAAAGATCCCCCGCGTAGCCTTTAACAGATTGCTGGGGCAAGTGCTGTTTAGCGAGCGCCTATGAAGGTCAGGTGGCCATCACCATGCCCGGCCGCCTTTGTCTCCCCGGTGCTGATTGTTTGTACACCGCAGCAGGGACGCATTTAAGGCCGAGTCGACCTAGAGGGAGGCCCAGGAGCGGTTCGAATATTCGCGCGCTGTTATAGTGCAGGGCGCTAACCACTGCGTCACCGCTCCCCATAAACTGACGCGCGCGCTCGGGACCACGTGGTCCGATCCACGCGAGAGGCTCTCACCGCTCCTGCCTCAAGGTGAGGGGGGTGGGGGAATGGGGGGTGGGCCCATGTCACGTGCCCCCCCCCCCCCCCGGTAAGTACTGACGCGCGCACACCGAGACACGCACGCGGACGTACGGCACACGAGGGGAGTCGTGTAGGCAGCTCCACTCCCGGCCGCCTTTGTCTCCCCAGTGGCGATGTTTACACGCACGGCACCCGGTACTCATTGGAGGCCAAGTCGTCCGAGTAAAGGCCCAGGACCGGTCCAGATTCAGTTCATGTATCAGGTGTAGCCCTGTCAGCCGTTCGGCTCTTGACTCGGGTGCAACCGCAATCATCGTCGTGGTCGGTGTCCGCGAGCGGGAACCGGGAACGGAGCCCTGCGGCTCTGCGGGTTTCGTGGCGCGGCGTCTCGCCACCGCTCCCGCTGCGGTGACGCGCTGTGTGAGAGGCACGCACGCGCACGCACGCGCACGCACGTACACGCGCCTCTCACTCCGCGTCACCGCAGCTCGCGACCTTGGGCCCCGCGTCTGCAATGAACTCGGGCCCAGCGCGCGTGTGCTTGTGTGTCTGTGTGTGAGTGCCAGTGTGTGTGAGTGTGTGTGCCAGTGTGTGTTTGTGTGCGAGTGTTTTTGTGTGTGTGTGTGCGAGTGTGTGTGTGTGTTTGTGTGCGAGTGTGTTTGTGTGTGTTTGTGTGCGAGTGTGTGTGTGCGCGTGTTTGTGCGTGTGTTTGTGTGTGCGAATGTGTGTGCGTGTGTTTGTGTGCCAGTGTGTGTGTGAGCGTGTGTGCGTGTGGGTGGAGTGGTGACAGTGGTGAGTGAACTGCGCTTTGAACCCGGCGACCCGGGGGTTCCATTCCCACTCACGGTCGACGCCAGTGACGATTATCTGAACCCGTCCTGGGCCTCCCCCAGGTCGACTCAGCCTCAAATGATTACCGGGTGCGGTGTGTAAACATCGCCACTGGAGAGACAAAGGCGGTCGTGTGTCGTGCCGGCACTTGCCCCAACAGTCTGTTGAGGCTATATGGGGGAACTTAGTATTGCGTCTACATTTGACAGTGCATGTTGTCGTGCGTCTCGGCTGACGTTCATGGCGATTATCTGAACAGGTTATGGGACGACTCTAAGTTAGCTCAGCCTTAAGTGAGTACGTGGAGCCAGCCGTGTGTAAACATCATCACGCAGCGTATGCCCCCCACAGCAAATGAACATCAGTGGAGGGATAAACGTCAGGGCAGAAGAGTCAGATGGTTTCGATGACCTGTCCATGGCTGAAGTGGCCCCTCAGGATAGAGGCATCTTATTGGGTGATTTAAACACCCGAGTGGGTCACCTGGAAGGGAGGGATTTGAAGACATGGGCCAGGTCGGCTCAATAGCAATGGTAGGAGGCTGCTTGTAATTACCAACACGCTGTTCCGGTACCGGCACATCCACACAACATCACGGATACACGCCGGGTCCAAGCAAGAACATCTGCTGGACTACAGAGTGATGGAACACAAGATGCCAGTCCATGTATTTTTAACCAGGACCTCCCATGGAGCTGATCTGCCAAATGACCATCAGCTTGTCATCTGTAAGACGCGCCTGCCATTCTTCCACTGCGGTGATGGGTGTCCATCTAGGACACCATTCCATCCCACACTCGCCTGGTCTCGGCTCGCTGTCGGACGTTGCAAGAGAGAATTTCCTCATCGCTTACAGCTGGGGTTGGCATCGCCCCCCCTCCTCCTCCTCCTTATTGCGAGGGGAAATGGGCGAGGTTCAGGACTGTGGCTCACGAAGCTGCTATGGCTGCGTTAGGTGCGCGGTCCAGACCTCCCCAGAGGCAATGGCTGACGGAGGAGGCGGCGTTTTGTCTGTTAGAATCCGGCAGGCCCTCTCGCTTCGTCTACAGCATCTCACACCTGAGAACGAGGAGGCTAACCGCAGCCTCCCCGCGGCGGTTCCGAGAGCCGTGCGGTGCTGGAATGATGAGTCATGGTCACGGGTTGCTGAGGAGATGGAAACTGCCTCAGCAGTGATCACAAATCACTGTTTAACTCGATCAAAAAAGTCACTTGCAGCGCCGCGCGTCAGTATGTACCGCACGTAAACAACCGTGCATGCTGATAGGAGGTGCTGTTACCATCCTTACGGGAAAGAGTGGTAATCCGATTTCTGACCCAGGGAATTTGTTTAGAGATTTCTGTGAGATATTGGGGTAGGGGAAGTCCCTCGGCTTCACAAACATCATGGGGCGACGTCGGATTGACCCTGCTGGGGCTGCCGTGCCTCAACGGTTGCAGGATATCGGTACCCCCTGTGAGTGTCTGGCTCACGTGACATTTGTTAGGGAAGGGTGATCCAGAGTCTGAGACCAGCATCAGCGCCGGCCAGCGAGGAAGGTCGGTGATGTAGTGGAGGCTGCCCTGTGGGACACCCTTACAGCCGACGGACCACAGGACGGGTTCCGCGGGACTGGAAGGACGCCCCGGTGGTTGCACAGATTGCAACGATTGCCGGGGAATCTCCATCGACAGAGTTGAGTCTGGGAGATGGTCCTCACGAGGAACACTCAGCAGCGTTGTGCCGGGTAGGGGAGGGAGGCTCGCTGTCGCCCAATGTGCTCTCAGATCTGCGTGCTCCTGCACTCAAGCGATGGCTCTCTGTTGGTTAGCGATGCGATGTCTGCTGACGATCTGGTGATCGCTGCTCACTCTGAGAAGGATGTGGAGACTGCGGTTGAACCTGGAGAGTGCCACGTGGAGGTGCGGCCTCTCCATCAGCACCTGCCTGGGTATTTCACATCAAATGCTCCACCCCCTCCACTCTCTGTAAGTGATGGGGCAGTTGTGGAGAGACCGGAGGAGTTCCCATACCTGGGCAGTATGCTCATGACCAGCTCCAGTTTGGTGACAGAGGTTTCACTTTCAATCAGTCGAGCGGCATTATCTTTTCATCGGCTGTGTAACGTTGCTGTATGGAAGCTGCCTCGCTCTGTCGTTCCACACGAAGCTCCGGGTCTTCTCTGTCGTTGTGAAACGTGGACCCCCCGAATTGACCATCTGCACCAGCTTGAATCATTCAGGGTGGCCTGCCTACGATCCATCCTGGGTTTAACCAGACTTCATTTTGTGCGGAGCTCAGAGACCCTTGCAAGATCTGGACAAAGTCCCATCGGTGAGCTCCTCCGCCGGGCAAAGCTGCGTTGGCTGGGTCATGTAGCCCGCATGCCCAGCCACCGCATGCCTAAACAGCTTTTGTTCGGCCGGATCGAGGGGGCTAAATGGGCGCGGCACGGGCTAGAGAAGAGATGGAGTGATGTGGTACAGGAGGACGTGAAGCTGAGTGGACTTGCTGATGACTGGTACCAGCGGTGTCAAGATCGGCCTCTGTAGAGGAGGCTCGTGAAGGACGCTACTGGGCAGTTGGAGACAGTCGCCCTCCAACAACAACGGAGGGGGAAGAGCGACGCTCACAACAACGCGGAGAGCGCCGAGTGGATAAAACGCATCAAATTGGCACAGTAGGGGGCACAGGTGGTGTACATCTGCCAGTCATCTCAGTCAGTCAACCCACGGCACCTGCTGGGTCTGTCCCGTGACCTCCTGCCAGCAGCGAGCCTCTCACACTTCATGTGACGGCATCAAAGCGCACCTAGCCTGGCACAGGCGCGGTGCTGACGTCACGTAGAGGTGTATGGGGCCATCCATTGAGTAGGGACGCAGAATCTGTCACGACTTGACCCCCCCCTCCCTGGACGCACGCGGACTTTATACCCCCCCCCCCCCCCCCGAATCTTAAAGAACGGCCGATATTTAATCCACGCAGAAACGATCAAGGATTAATCATATTAACGTGTTTAGGCGAACAGAAAATTCACCGCCGGCTGCATTGAAGAATTAAGTTGCGTAACTTGGCCACTGATGTTTGCCGAGCTGCGTGATGGCTGCAGTAGTCGGGGGGGGGGGGGCACTGCGCGGGTGACGCCTCCCCCACAGCCCCCCTCAGCCCCTCACGTGTCCCGCTGGGACTTGCTGTCTCACAGCTGACCACACTCACCTGTGGCTCATTTGAAGGCCAAAGTAGACACATTATTATCGAGGCTTCACCCACCCCCCCGTTTCCTAAGCGTGCATTGTCAGTAGACCCCCCATAGGCAAGCGAACGCGTTTGGGTTAAACCCCCCTCCCCCCTCCCCCTCCATGCGTACGGACTAAATGGATGGCCCCCATGGCGGTTGTTCTTGCTGCTGTGTAGTTTGACAACACCACTCACTACACCACCACTCCTACACCACCACCACTAACACAACTACTCACTCACCACTCACTAACAACACCACCAACACCACCACTCCTACACCACTCACTCACTACACCACCACTCACTACACCACCACTCACTCACCACTCACTAACAACACCACCACTAACACCACCACTCCTACACCACTCACTCACCTCTCACTCACCACTCATTCACTACACCAGTCACTCACCACTCCTACCCAGAATACGAACTACAGTCGCAGGACAAACCCCCTCCACAACCACACAATCACAACCACCCTCCACAACCACACAACCACACAACCACAACCACACAACCACAACCACACAACCACAATCACACAACCACCCAACCACACAACGACAACCACACAACCACCCTCCACAACCACCCAACCACAACCACCCAACCACAACCACACAACCACACAACGACAACCACACAACCACCCTCCACAACCACACAACCACCCTCCACAACCACACAGCCACAACCACACAGCCACAACCACACAGCCACAACCACAAAACCACCCTGCACAACCACAACCACACAACCACCCTCCACAACCACACAGCCACAACCACACAGCCACAACCACAAAACCACCCTGCACAACCACAACCACACAACCACCCTCCACAACCACACAGCCACAACCACACAGCCACAACCACACAGCCACAACCACAAAACCACCCTGCACAACCACAACCACACAACCACCCTCCACAACCACACAGCCACAACCACACAGCCACAACCACAAAGCCACCCTGCACAACCACAACCACACAACCACCCTCCACAACCACACAGCCACAACCACACAGCCACAACCACACAGCCACAACCACAAAGCCACCCTGCACAACCACAACCACACAACCACCCTCCACAACCACACAGCCACAACCACACAGCCACAACCACAAAGCCACCCTGCACAACCACAACCACACAACCACCCTCCACAACCACACAGCCACAACCACACAGCCACAACCACAAAGCCACCCTGCACAACCACAACCACACAACCACCCTCCACAACCACACAGCCACAACCACACAGCCACAACCACACAGCCACAACCACAAAGCCACCCTGCACAACCACAACCACACAACCACCCTCCACAACCACACAGCCACAACCACACAGCCACAACCACAAAGCCACCCTGCACAACCACAACCACACAACCACCCTCCACAACCACACAGCCACAACCACACAGCCACAACCACAAAGCCACCCTGCACAACCACAACCACACAACCACCCTCCAACCACAGCCAACCACACAGCCACAACCACACAGCCACAACCACAAAGCCACCCTGCACAACCACAACCACACAACCACCCTCCACAACCACACAGCCACAACCACACAGCCACAACCACAAAGCCACCCTGCACAACCACAACCACACAACCACCCTCCACAACCACACAGCCACAACCACACAGCCACAACCACAAAGCCACCCTGCACAACCACAACCACACAACCACCCTCCACAACCACACAGCCACAACCACACAGCCACAACCACAAAGCCACCCTGCACAACCACAACCACACAACCACCCTCCACAACCACACAGCCACAACCACACAGCCACAACCACAAAACCACCCTGCACAACCACAACCACACAACCACCCTCCACAACCACACAGCCACAACCACACAGCCACAACCACAAAACCACCCTGCACAACCACAACCACACAACCACCCTCCACAACCACACAGCCACAACCACACAGCCACAACCACAAAGCCACCCTGCACAACCACAACCACACAACCACCCTCCACAACCACACAGCCACAACCACACAGCCACAACCACAAAGCCACCCTGCACAACCACAACCACACAACCACCCTCCACAACCACACAGCCACAACCACACAGCCACAACCACAAAGCCACCCTGCACAACCACAACCACACAACCACCCTCCACAACCACACAGCCACAACCACACAGCCACAACCACAAAGCCACCCTGCACAACCACAACCACACAACCACCCTCCACAACCACACAGCCACAACCACACAGCCACAACCACAAAGCCACCCTGCACAACCACAACCACACAACCACCCTCCACAACCACACAGCCACAACCACACAGCCACAACCACAAAGCCACCCTGCACAACCACAACCACACAACCACCCTCCACAACCACACAGCCACAACCACACAGCCACAACCACAAAGCCACCCTGCACAACCACAACCACACAACCACCCTCCACAACCACACAGCCACAACCACACAGCCACAACCACACAGCCACAACCACAAAGCCACCCTGCACAACCACAACCACACAACCACCCTCCACAACCACACAGCCACAACCACACAGCCACAACCACAAAGCCACCCTGCACAACCACAACCACACAACCACCCTCCACAACCACACAGCCACAACCACACAGCCACAACCACAAAGCCACCCTGCACAACCACAACCACACAACCACCCTCCACAACCACACAGCCACAACCACACAGCCACAACCACAAAGCCACCCTGCACAACCACAACCACACAACCACCCTCCACAACCACACAGCCACAACCACACAGCCACAACCACAAAGCCACCCTGCACAACCACAACCACACAACCACCCTCCACAACCACACAGCCACAACCACACAGCCACAACCACAAAGCCACCCTGCACAACCACAACCACACAACCACCCTCCACAACCACACAGCCACAACCACACAGCCACAACCACAAAGCCACCCTGCACAACCACAACCACACAACCACCCTCCACAACCACACAGCCACAACCACACAGCCACAACCACAAAGCCACCCTGCACAACCACAACCACACAACCACCCTCCACAACCACACAGCCACAACCACACAGCCACAACCACAAAGCCACCCTGCACAACCACAACCACACAACCACCCTCCACAACCACACAGCCACAACCACACAGCCACAACCACAAAGCCACCCTGCACAACCACAACCACACAACCACCCTCCACAACCACACAGCCACAACCACACAGCCACAACCACAAAGCCACCCTGCACAACCACAACCACACAACCACCCTC